TTGGAACATATATCTCGCATCAAACTCCCCAGGTGCAATCGTAAGCCCCGCGGTGAGACGCGGTATTCAATTCCAACTCATAAAACTTCCCCAAGGCAGAATAACCAGGGATCGCCTTCTTGGCACTGTGAAAGCGCCCTCCACGAGCGGCCCGAGCCAATTTCAAGCAACGAGATACTCGTTCCTCAAGCGACTCAGCTCCTTGACTGGCGATGTGGGCCTTGACGCGCCCGGCTGCGTAATAGAAGACATCTTTGATGCCCTGCAACTGCTCGTCTAAATTCTGGCCTAACTCCTCCGGCACGATAAGATCCTGGACCACTTTCTGAAACGCACGATGATTAGCCACCCAAACAGGGATCGGGGTCGGACCCTGGGGTCTCCACGGCTCCAGCTTCAGAAACACGGGAACGAGGTCCGAAGGTTTGGACAAATCGGAGGCAGGCCAGATAACACCCGTGCTCGGACACAGGTCGAGAATGTCCTGAGTGGGCAGGGAACAGCAAAGGCGGTCCAACCGACCGTGCGACTACATTTCATCACGCTGAAGACGGTGGGCATCATCTTCCTAGGAAACTTCAGCTAAATACGGAAACACAGACGTGAACAGCGAAGCCAAACGGCTGGTGCTGGGCCCATCAAGGCCCGTGGAAGCATTCACCCTGGACTCCCCGACCTCCAAGAAGTTAGAGTCCCAGAAAACGAAGCTCGTGACGACATCTGGCTTCCCGAGCGCTTTCTTAATCTCAGCAAACACATCTTTGAGCTCATCGATGCCCCACTCAGGATCGAGGTGGAGGTTGAGGAACTGCAAGTTGCCCTTCTCGGAGGACAAGCGCAGCAGAGAGATGCGCCCAGGCGCCGCTGCCACAAATTCATAATGCGACCAGCTGCGGAGAAACTCACGAGAGACAAGAAGGAGATTGCCACCTGCAGAAGGAGACTCACAGAAGCTGCCAAAAACGTGGTGTGTCCGAACTTCTCTCTGGAAATGCACGATGTCACCCTCGCCACCGTGAGGCCCCTGGACGCCGAGAACCTGGAACTTACAGAGCAAGGAACGGATATGAGTCAACTTAGATCGGAAGCTGGATTGGTTCGAATTGACAGAGCCGAGGACAGTCTGAATATTCCAACTGCAGATGCCAAGAGAACAATCAGGAGCAAAAGGATGAGAAGAGAGAGGAGGGGGACAAGGACCAGGCACAGGATTGCAATGCCGAGAGCGAGCGCGAGAGACGTAAAAGGTGGCTGAGCGGACGCCGTCGGGGCCCTCGCTGGCCTCTCTGCACGAGCTGCGGGCATCGCACGAGCGATGCGCTGGGCTCTCCCTCTGCAAGAGACTACTTACGGGCAGCCGCCCTCTGCTCGAGCGAAACGCATCCTGCAGAGGATGCTCGCTCTCCCGCAGCGGAGGAGGCACAAAAGAGACGGCGCGGCGCTCACGAGACTGCCGCACAGGAGGATCCTACAGGTAGCTCTCGACGCGGCCCGCCTGGTGCGCGACGTTGAAGATCTGCTGTATCTGCTCGGCGGTGATACCCCGCGAGTTCAGCTCCTCTTGAACGGCATGGGGCTCTTCCGTGGACTCATTCCTCTTCAGCAACTTCACAATGGTGAACACATCCTGAGGCGCGACGACCATCATCTCGCCTTTGAACCCGTTCACTCCGAGCTTGCACTCGGCAGCCCATGACTGATGACCACGAAGCAAATCCATGATCGGCTGGTAGATGCGGTTTATCGTACGCTGGCGGTCGCGTGCATCAAAAGGCAAGTCATGGCGCACCCTTAGTGCGTGGGCTGATCCATTGCGCGGGTCTATCCACTGCAGGGCGGACGTGTTGACATTCTCACTGAACTGCTTGGCGGCGGCGAGCGTGCGAAAGACAATATTGTAATGCTGGGCCGCAGCATGGAATACTGGTTCGGCATCTTGAAGGAGATGCGGGTGCACATTCAACATTTGTCGGTAATGCGCCTCAAGAACAGTCTTATGAACAGGCCGAGGGAAGGTTCCGATGAAGCGTACTGAGGGATTGGTACCGACTTGTTGGCCACGCCCACGGTTGCCACCACCAGTTCCACTGCCACCTCCAGACGGGGTAGAAGCAGAGGACGCTGCCGATGAGGCTCCCGATGATGCCTGAGACGCCAACTGCGAGACGGCCTGGATCTGGGCGCCAAGCTGCTCGATCTGTGACTGGTGCTGCTGCAAGGTGGTCTGGGTCGTCTCCACACGCGAATCCAAGGCGATGATCGATGCCTCATGCGCGGCCAGCTGCACCTGCAACGCGGCCGTCGACGAGTCGATGGACCTGGTGATGTTCGCCTCAATGCTTCCCAGCATCGAGCGCAACTCGGCCATGACCTCCGAGGAAATGCCTCCATTGGTGCCGCTGGAGGCGGAACCGCTGGTACCATGACGATTCTCACTGACATGGTCTTGGCTGCGTCGATCCTCACTTCGACGCTTTCCTGCACGATGGAGACTCGACGAGCGGTCGGACATGTCATCACTGCGTGCGCCACGACTGCGACTGTGAGACCTGCGACTCTGAGATCTGCGGCTCTCCGACTCGGAGTGTGAATTGGAACGATAACGCTGCTCACGACGACTCTGGCTGCGCTCCTCTCGGGCACGGCGAGTGTCATCTCTCGCTGCTTTCTTGACTCCCTTGCGACCCATCGCGGCAGAGAGGTGCTCAGCACAGATTGTACTCAGGCAAAGTGCGGTACAATATCAGAAACAAGTGAAGTGAAAGAAAAACAGTACAGGTCAAGGTCTGACTGGGGAAGCGTCTGTGACCTCGAGCGCGGCCGCCTCGCACTCGAGACGGGGGGATTCCCGAAATGTTACTTGAGCCAAAATGGCTACGGAGGAGGAGGAGGAGGAGGAGGAGGAGGAGGCGGACGACGCCTCTTGGAAGCCTCTCGGGGCATTCTTGGGGTCTCCTGAGAGGTTCCTGGGGACCTCTTGGAGGCCTCTTGGCCTCCTTGGGCCTCTCTTAGGAGCCTTTGGGAGCTTGTTCGGGGCGGCCTTGGCCGACTTCGGGCGTTCCTAGCCCGTCTGACACGGTCGGAAGCCGTCTTGGATGCCTCTCAAAACCGACTTGAAGCCCTCTTGAGGCGCTCCAGGGCGTCTTGGAGGCCTCTTGGGCAGTCTTGGGGCCCTCTTGGGGCAATCTTGGGGGTCACTTGGGCCGTCCTCATCTTGGAGGCCTCTCGGGCGCTCTGTGGACGATCTTGGGGGCCTCTCGGGCCGACTTAGGCCGTCGGAAAGCCAGAAAAGAAACAAATGCCACGTTCCGTAAAAGAAACAAAAAAGACAATCTATGATTTTGGCCTCTTCGGGCCCTCCTGGAGAACCTCTTGGAGGCCTTTGGAGCCGTCTTCAAGGCCTGTTGGAGGACTCTCGGGCTGTCTTGGGGAGGTCTGTGAGGCTTCTTGGGAGGACTTGGAGGCATCTTTGCCGCTCTTCGGCAAACTAAGATGCCATATTGGGCTACCCTTGGCGAACTTGGGGGCCATCTTGACCGTCTGGGAAGCTATCGTGGGCCATCTTGGAGCCATACAAAATAGGACAACCTTGGCAACCACCCTTTGCGGGTGGCCGGCGCGCCGTGCCGAAGCCCCCAGGGGGGCCTTTGAAAACCATACACCTCTCAGGACGTCCAGCACGGCGGGCGCCCCCTGTGGCAAGCCAACCAGGGGGCGGCAGATCTAGGGCCCTCGGGCCATGCCGCCACCGTGCCTGAGTTTGGGGCCCGAGGCTTCTTGGATACCTGAAATTCGGGGTCTCTTGGCATGCTTCTCGGGCGCCTCGTGGAACGAGTTTTGAAGCTTTTCCGGGCCTCTTGGGGGCTGTTTGGGGGCCGTTCGGGGGCCTCTTGGGGAGCCCTCGGGGGCCACTTGGGAGCCTGCTGGCGGCCTCGGGGCACTTGTGGTGGAGGGCTCGAAATGTCAGATCGAGTTCCCCCTCTTGTACCTTTTTTTTGTTTTTCTTTGGCTCGGATGCGTGCAGAGCTCTCCTGTCCGCTGTGCGTAACTACTGGAAGGAATTCAGCTGACGCCGAAATAATTCGGGGACTTGCGGTAATTTGGCTTTGGGGCACCTGAACCCCGCTAGTGGGCCCAGCTTCCTGGAGCCACTTCCCTGTAGGGCGCAGCAGCCCGATGCGGCATATGGCCCGGGGCCATCTGGGTCCAGACCGCACTGGCTGGGCCGAGCGAATTCGAGGAGGAGGGCGGCGGAGATTGGCGGCGCGCACAAGGGGGTGGGGGGAGGGGGGAGGGCTTCTTAGAAGCAGGCTGCTTCTTAGAAGGCGCCAGCCTTACATCTATAGACAAGGCCCGCGCCTTCTAAGCTAAGAAGCAGGGGTGCTTCTCAGAAGCCCTCCCTCCTCCCCCCACCCCTCTCTGCGCGTGGCTGAGGAGAAGGAGGAAGGAACAGCAGGTCGGGGGAGAGGGAGCGATGGGGAGGGCGGAGGATGCTGAGCCGACAAGGGCCAGCAGCCCTCGACCCACGGGCTGGCGGCCGACCCGCCCGGGCCACCCGACCGAGGCCAAGAAGGCGCCCCGCGTCGCGGACCCGCGGCACCGCCCCTGCTTGGCGGCGCGCACGCACCGGGGGGGTGGGGGGAGGGGGGAGGGCCTCTTCGGAGGAGGCTGCCTCTCAGAAGGCGCCGGCCTTACACATCTGTAGACAAGGCCCGCGCCTGCTCAGAAGCAGGGGTGCTTCTGAGACGCCCTCCCCCCTCCCCCCAATCCCCCTCTGCGCGCGGCTGACCTGCCCAGACCCGTGAAGTCATCGCTGCGTCGGAGGTCTGGGCCTGCCGCTAACGAGTCCGGTGAACTGCTCAAAGAACAAGGCGCCGCGAGCAGCGCGCGGGCACCGTCCACCATGCGCCGCCCTCCACTCCAGGCCCCGGATCTGCCCGATCCCCCCACCACCCTGGCCCACGTGATGCGCTGCTCAGCGATGCGGATGCAGGACGGCATCAGGCCGCCGCCCTCTCAAAGAGGCGGCTGCCTTTATGGGCGTACCCGTGTTTGAGGGTCGACTTCTTCCTCGTCTGTCCACGGTGAGAGATCGCTTCTATCGTTATGGTGTCCTTCGTCAGAGTCATCTCCATGAACCCGTACTGGTCGTCCTCGCCGCCACCCGCGGGCTCGAGCTCAGAGGTGACGCCGCCGCCGCCGCCAGACACTACGAAGCCGGTCGGGTCCAGGAAGTCGCTCATGAGAGTGTCAGAGGCGTCGAATTGCCAAACCTTCTCCGCTGCATCGCCGGGAAGATGGAAGTTCTGCAAATGGCGGTGACCTGAGACGATCAGGTCGATCTCGTGTCTCCTGGCCATGTCTTGCCACTCGTCTACCCCCCAGTATGGCGGGAAGTGGGTCACGACGATGCGCCAATCTCCAACCAATCCAGGAACGAGGCCGTCGAGCCACGTCTTCTGCTGATCCCAAAGCCCCTTGAAAAACCACGGGCAGTCCCAGACGGACGAAGGACCAGGGCTACACGATGCACCATCAGGGTTGTGGTACTGCGAACAAATGTTGTGCGCGGACCCATCGGCTGGGTCCAAAGCGTCCCACACGTTCGTATCCATGAAGATGTAGTCAACTGCGAAATCTGCATACCACACCTTCACGCTGTAATACTGAGCGGGCGTCATCCATCGGCCAGCTTCCGAATGCCATGTGTAGCCGATGGCCTTATCCCAACCCTTCTCGAACCTGTAACCCCCGTAGTCGTGATTTCCGAGCACACCCAGCCACTGCTTGCCGTTGAGCCCATGGCCAACGTAAACCCTCTCGTAGACAAGCTCGAACTGCGAAATCCCATACTCTTCGGTCCCCATGCTGTTGATGGGACCAGAATTGCAGTGCTCCTCGACGCCTGCCCAATAGAAATTATCACCTACGTTGAGCACGTAATCGGGCAGGGATGAGCCGGCCCTGCCGACCATGGCATCCCTGACGTTAAACTGGGCTCTGTCGTCTACTCCGCCAACGAAGTTGGCCGGACATCTCTTGTGGACCTGGTTGGCGGGCGCGATGGAGTTGCCATGGTCTTTGTCGACGGATCCACCCCAATCGCCCAGGATGAAGACGCGATGCGCCCTGCTACCTGGTATGTAAACGTCGGCCAGCTGCACTCCGTTGTGCTGGGTGGCGGATTCTGGCGGCGACCACCAACGGTCTGGAGGCACGAAGCGGCCAGGATAGTTGCCGCACCCGAGGAGCTCGCAGCTCCACGGAGTCTGATGCTCTGTGGAGTCCCCCACGATGTCGACCTGCCCCGGCTCGCAGGACGGCCTGCACGAGGCCCAGAACCCGTTCTTGGCGAAGCAGCTGAGGGCGGGGTCCGCACAGCACCCCGTCGGCAAGCAATTCTCACCTGACTCCGTACTAAACCACCCCACCCCAACCCGAAGACCCGAATTTAACCCGAATTTCGGGTTGGGGGGGTACGGGTTCCGTTTGTGTTTTTGAGGCCTTCGGGTTGGGTTGGTATGTTTTGGTGGGTGGTGATCACCTGGCGCGCTGCACCAAGTCTCGTTAGGCTTCGGCCACGCCGCAGGGCAGGCGGCAGCGCTCTCGGGCCTGAACGCCAAGCACGTGGCCCCCTTGCTGGCAACGCTGGACTGCGGCTCCGTGGACCACACCCGGCACTTCTCGACGTCGCTGTCGAACTCGATGGCCCTGCACACCGAGGCTTTCGCGCAGGCGGACTGGCAGTCCTCCAGCGAACTCACCCTCGAGGCCACCTCGATGACCGCGCTGCCGCTCCCAGGAGGACCCGGCTCAGTCACGGTCGCGACGCCCTGAAACTCGCGACAGCTCCTGCCGGAGCCTCCGTCGACGGGGTGGAACGAGTCCTCATGGGCCCAGAAGTTGGAGGGGGAGGGGGTCCTCCTCCTCCTCCTCCTCCACCTCTTCCTCCTCCTCCTCTTCGTCGTCCTCCTCCTCCAACTCCTCCTCCTCCTCCTCCTCCTCCTCCTCCTCCTCCGCCTCCTCCTCCTCCTCCTCCCTCTCCAACTTATGGTGGTGGTGGTGGTGGAAGACGGTAAGCAGGTCCATCAAGTCCAGCACGTGGTCCCCAGTCGGAGCCGACGTCGGGGCACCAGTGGGAGGCGCCGTCGGGGCCCCAGTGGGAGGCGCCGTCGGGGCCCCAGTGGGAGGCGCCGTCGGCTCGGACGCCGGCGTCGGGGCTGGCGTCGGGGTCAGCGTCGGGGCCCGCGTCGAGGCTGCGTTATGATCGGGAACGTCCGTGGGATTTAGAGGCCGCCTAGACGGGGTCGGAGTAGATGGGGTCGGAGGATCGCGCCGCATCGCCGATACATCGGCGATGCATCTGCGATGCCTCGGTGATGCACCGGCGATGCATCGTCGACGTCGGCGATGCATCGGCAACGTCGACGTGAAGCACATCGGGTTCAACCTCGAGCCGCATCGGCGATGCTTCGGCGATGCGGCACAATTCTCCGACCCCATCTACTCCGACCCCATCTAGGAGGCCTAGAGGATTGCTGCTCGCCGCGGGACCGCCGCTGCGAACGACCGTGCTGTCGGGAGTGGCGGCCGCGTCGACAGCCGCAGGCGGGCCGCTGAGCCAGGGCAGCGAGGGCCACCAGGGCATCGAGAACAGTCGGGCCGGCTGCGCGTGGGCCGCCGAGCCGTCCACATCCGGGCCGTGCGGCGGCGGGCTCACGAGCTGCCGTTGCCTCGCGCTGGCAGATCTCAGATCGCCACCGCGAAGTAGAAGAAGAAACAACCACATGAACATAAACTCTTGGCGCTCCGCGCGGATTCCTTGGATCCGCGCTGGGCCCCCCTCTCCCTGGCGCGCGGAGCGCGCCAGGGGCGGCGCCGGAGGCGCCGCTGCGGGGCCCAGCGCGGATCCAAGAAATCCGCGCGAATCGCCAAACGTTTATGTTCATGGCGTTGTTCTCCTCTTCGAGCGAAGGCACAAGCACGCGGCGCTGGCCGCCGCAGCCACGAGACACAGCCCCACGATCCAGCAGCGCCTGCCGGCCGCGAGGCCCGCAGGCCCGCGGGCGGGGCCGCCCTCCCTGCGGGTGCCCACGAGCGGCTCCGCGGCCACCGCGCCGGCCCCGAGGCCGTCGGTGGCCTCCGCCCCGGGCGGGCCGACGAGCGCGTCGCGCGGCGAGTCGCCGCCGGCCGAGGCCATCAGCGGCGCAGAGGCGGTCGGGTCGGCCAGGGGCGCCTGCAAGCGGCCTCTCAGAGGCCCTCCATGAAGGCCTCCAGGACGCCTCTCAGAGGGGCCTCTGGAGAGGCCGGCCTCTGATCCACCCCTACCCCGTGGATTAACTCCGGAGTTCTTTCACAGGGTCCAGGGCGGCACCCCTCAGAGGCCTCCTGGAGGGCCTCTGAGAGGCCGTCTGGTCGGGGCTCGCCCCGGGCCTGTTCGGGTCGCAACGGCACTTGAGCCAAAATGGCTACGGACACTCCTGTACCCCTCTTGGACCGCCTTGGGGCTCTCTCGGGCTGTCCAGAGTCCCTCTTGGGGGCCACTTCTTGGGGCGATCTTGGCGTTCTCTTGGGCCGACTTCCGCCGAGGTCGAATCTCTCCGAACCGCGAATCTCGACCGATCCACCGACCGATCGACAACGTCGGGAGTGCGGCGTCGGCCCGCGTTGCGGCCGAGGCGCCGCCGCCTTCACGGTTGCTGTGGCGGTCGATCGGTCGATCGGTCGACGTCGAGGGCAATCAACTGGCCTCGAGCTGATCCCTGACTGACAAGCCCTCAAAAGCGATGACAGGCTTGGGGACGCGCCCTCAGAAACTGAGGGTATCCTTAAGATCGGTATTGAGATCAGGTGATGTCAATCATAGGGTTTAGTCTATGTTCCAGGCTGGTAGGATTAGGTCGGGCATATACCCCTACAGGCGGATTTTCGACGAAACAAAATCAAAACATCATGCATATTAAAACAAATAGTCACCATGCTATGTTTGGACTATTTGTGAATATTCCTCCTGTAGAGGGACATACGTTCCAGGCTGGTAGCATGAGGGCGACGCGGCGGTGGCGATGGGGGAACAACAACAGCACCAATGACACACCGCCGTGGCGAAACCATGAGCGTGCCAGTGTCAAAGGAACACACCAGGTCGTCGGACAACAGCGAAGGAGCAGCCCGCCGACGGGGGGTCCCAACGGGGGCGTGCCACTGATCTGTTTGTTCCCCCCCCCCGAGAGATTATGAACAGAACTCTAGACCCAGTATGTCTGCCGCATTCTCCGAGCTGGATCCATCCGCGAGGGCTCCGGGGACCGAAACAAGCCAACATCGTCGTTGTGCAAAACATGTGCCTCCTAAATCGCAGGGGCCCCGTGCGCTTAGAACGCGTACGGGGCCTGCCGACGATGACGACGATGACGGCGGCGACGACGACGACGACGACGACGACGACGACGACGACGACGACGAGGCGGTGCGGTGGCGGCGGCGGCGGCGGCGGCGCGGTGGCGGCGGCGGCGAGGCGGCTTCGAGGGCGCGGCGGTGCCTTCGAGCCGCGCGAGGCGCGGCGGCGGCGGGTCGCGGCGGCGGGGGTGCCGCCGCCAGGCTGCGAGGTGGCGGCGGGCCGCGGGCCGTCGCAAGCTGGGCGCGCGCGCGGAGGGCCGCCGCCGTCGCCGCATTCGCGCTTCGCCGCGGCGGCGGGACTGCCCGCCGCCTCGCCCGTCCTCCTCCTCCTCCTCCTCCTCCTCCTCCGCCTCCGCCTCCTCCTCCTCCTCTCCCCCTCCCTCCTCCTCCCCCTCCCCCTCCTCCTCCTCCTCCTCCCTCTCCTCCTCCTCCTCCTCCTCCTCCTCCTCCTCCTCCTCCTCCTCCTCTCCTCCTCCTCCTCCTCCCTCCTCCTCCTCCCTCCTCCTCCTCCTCCTCCTCCTCCTCCTCCTCCTCCTCCTCCTCCTCCTCCTCCTCCTCCTCCTCCTCCTCCTCCTCCTCCTCCTCCTCCTCAACCTTCTCACCGCCACCAACCGCTTCGCCGCCGTCGCTGCCGCCACCGCCGGCGCCGCCACTGTCGTCGTCGTCGGCGTCGTCGTCGTCGGCGTTGTCGTTGTCGTCGTCGCCGCCGCCGCCGCCACCGCCGCCGTCGTCGGCGTCGTCGGCGTCGTCGGCGTCGTCGGCGTCTCGCCTCCTCTTGGAAAGAAGCCGCTCTCGGGGGGAACGGGACAGGATCCAAGCTTTGGACGTTTCTGGTCCTTCTCGGGCCTCATGGAACGTCCTGTGACCTGTGGACTTCGAGAGGCCTCTGGAGGACGATGAGGGCGAGGAGGAGGAGGCATGAGAGACACCCCCCCTCTTCCCTTCCTCCTTCCCTCCCACGTCCCTCGTCCCTGCCTTCCTCCCCTGCTTTTCCCGTCCACCTCCATCCCTCGCTCCTTTTTGCTCCTCCTCTCTTCTCTCCAGCCCCCCCCCCGGTCTCGCCCTCCTCGTCGTGCAGAAGGCCCCCTGGTGGTCTCCAGAGGTCCCCGCAGGCCCCCAGAGGAAGGCCATGAAAAATAACGGGCCCTGGCGGAGGCAACTCTTCGACTCCGGGGTTAGATCAGGGCTGGACCTAAACGTTGTTTTTCGTTTTGTTTCCGTTTTGCTCAAATTACCTGTTTTTGTCCAGTGCCTCCCTGCCAAAACGAACAGCAAAGCGCAGCCGAAGTCCAGCAAAACAGCGTCTAGGTCCAACCCTGTCTCTCGCCATAAAAATGGGCCCTGGCGGATGCCACTCCTCGACCCCGGGGCTTCTCCCCCGGGTCAGATGTTCCACTCCGGGCTGCTCTGTTGACGCTCCTGAGCCCGGGGAGAGCCCCGCAAGGCCGAGAACGAAGAACAACTTCGGTGCCGTTGGATTCATGGCGAGATCCCCCAGGGAGGAGCCGGCCGACGGCGGTGGCAACAACCGCGGCGGCTCCGGTCGACGGTATCCGTGATTCCACCAGAGCTCTCTGGAGGTCCCCAGAAGCCTTCGGAAACCAGGGATGGTCGAACTCAGCACATCGACCTCGCCCTCGCACCCACGACCGCTCGACCCTCGATTGGTCGGCGACGGCGGCGGAGCATGCTGCCTCGGGGGCTTCAGTAAGGGCAGGCATTCAACATGAGGGAGAAGAGGGAAAGGTGGTGATGGGGGCAGAGCAGGAGGGGGGGTGGGGAGCAGTTCACCCCAGTAAGACTGACGACGACCGCCCGTGAGTCGACGCCTCCAGGGCATGGACAAGCGCGGCGGCGCGGTCGACAACGACAGGGCGACGGCGGCGACCAGGACATCGACGACGACGCGGATGACGACCGCGCGGACCTGTCCCAATGCGAATTCCCGCCCGAAATTCCGAGGCCGATCCAGCTGGGGCCGTGAAGGTGTCCCGCGAGGCCCGAGGAAACCCGAACACCTTGAACCTCGCGAGCGGCGATCCTACACGGCAGCGGCGGCAAACAGGGACGGAACTGTGTGTCACGGAGGGGAGGAGGATGCAGAGGACTAGGGCCAGCGCCAAGAGGGTGATGAGGGCGAAGTGGAAAAGGGGGGACGAAGATGCCAAAGAGGACGAGGAGATGGGAAGTGCGACAGAAACGCCGGCTAGCGATCGGGAGTGCGAGCGTCATGCGTGCCCACCGCGGCGATCGATCGTACACAAAGGTGCCTCGTCGCCAGTGGCTCGCTGCCGCGACGGCGGCCGCCCCTTGCGGCCTTGATTACCCCGTTTTGCGGGGGCTGCGCTGGCCTGGTAGGGGGGGAGGGGGCACCGGAGGCAGAGAACGCCAGGGAGTAGTCCCGATCCGACCGCCCTGCCGCGGCGAGGCCTGCGCGCGCACACCCGCACGCGGAAGCAATCTGCACGCCACACGCGCATTGTGCCCGCGTGCTGTGCTGTTGGACCTGCCGTTGAAAACATCAACTGCATTCAGACTGTCAGTCCAAATGTGCACAGGAAGCTCGGCAGGCTCACTCATCGAGGCGAGAGCTGCCCATATGACGCCTAGAAATGCAACGTCGGTGCCGTCCACGTTGTCTGGAAGGGGCATGTCAAAAGAATGTCGCCACTGACTGCACATGAACCCTTGATAGGAGTGCTCGTCCAGGGACGGCCGAGATCACCTTAAGATCCCCTTGAACCAGCATGGCTTGAACCAACATGTCTACGGACACTCTATGTATTTTTGCGGGCTTCGACGGAACAGCCAAACTTGGTGTGAATCAGTTCTGTAATCGATCCCCTACTCGACTGTTCGTCTCAAACGAACGACTTCCGCGGCCATATCGAAGACGAATCCTGTTCGAACTGGACAGAAACAGCTGTCGATCTCTATCCCCGTCCTGTCCGTTTTGGACTCGCTCGTACCGAAGGGGGACCCTCGCTCTCGCCCGCTCTGGCGGCCCTCGCCGAGAAGCGGATCGCGGCTGAGGACACGACCTCGGAGCTGGAAAACCGTGCTGACGGACTTCGTGGTGACTTCGTGATACCCACTGACCTCACCGCGCGGTCCGTCACCGCACGGTTTTGGGACTTCGGAGGCCCTGGTCGCCCGAGACGTCCTCGCAGAACGACCCACAAGTCCCAAGCCCATGCGACGACCCCGAATCCCCACCGACTCACCGCACGGTGTGGTCACCACACCATTTGATGGGCCCCCACCAATTTTCGTGTCATAACTCACCTCTCTGGCGGCCCTTCGGGGCAATCCGGCCACCCCTGAAACGCTCTCGGCGAGGCGCAGCCGCTGGAAGGCACCCCGAGGCTGCAAAACCGCCAGGGACCTGCAAAAAGTCCGAACACGTCTGACACCGAGGAGGAGGAGGAGGAGGAGGAGGAGGAGGAGGAGGAGGAGGAGGAGGAGGAGGAGGAAGAGGAGGGGGAGGAGGAGGGGGAGGGGGAGGCGGAGGAGGAGGAGGAGGAGGAGGAGGGCGAGGAAGGCGAGGAGGAGAAGGCGGAGGAGGAGGATGACCGAGGAAACGATCGCCCCACGCCGCCGAGGCCGAGGGCGGGCCTCCGGCCGCGGGCCACCACTGCTCCCGGCACTCGCGCAGCGCGAGGCGCACCGCGGCCCCGGTCTTCTCGATCCAGTCGCCGCCTCTTGCCGCCGCCGCCGCCGCCGCTCGGTGTCGCTGTCGCCGCTCGGTGCCGCCGTCGACGCCGTCGCCGCTCGGTGTCGCTGTCGAGGCCGTCGCCGCCTCTTGCCGCCGCCGCCGCCGGTGTCGCTGTCGCTTCTGTCGGTGCAGGCGAGCCCAGAATCGAATCGAGAAGTCGCATCGGCGATCGAGATGAATCGGATCGGCGGAAATCGGCAGCCGAGTCGGGAGAAGTCGAAACTGGCAGAAATCGTCAGCCTGGTAGGCCTCCACGAGAAATCGGAACCCAAATCGGAATCCGAAGTCGAATCGAATCGGAATCGGAGGCCATCGAAATTGAGTCGAATCGAATCGGAGGAATGGAAATGAATCCTGTTGGTGTCGCTGTCGACGCTGTCGCCGCCGCCGCCCCAACCGTCGCCGCCGTCGTCGTCGCCGTGGATACATCGCTGCCCGAGGTCTCCAGACGTTGGAGGCCCTTTTCAGGGCTATGGGGTCGAGGACAGAAGTTCGAAGATTCTGGAACTCGTTAGCCCTTTTTGAAGCCACCCAGAGACATCAAGACAACGTTGGTCGTCGTCGCCATCGCCGTCGCCGTCGCCGTCGCCGTTGCCGTCGCTGTCGCAGTCGCCGTCGCCGTCGCCGCCGCCGGCGGCGGCGGCGGCCTCATCCCTCATCCCTCCTCCTCCTTCTCCTACTCTTTGTTTTCTCCTTCCCTTCTCCCTCCTCCTTCCGCACCGTCCTTCTTTCTCCTCCTCTCTCATCCTCTGTCCTCCCTCCTCCTCCCCCCCCCCTTTTCGAACGAGGGAGTTGGTGGCGAGTTGGTGGCGAGGTAAGGCGATGAGGGCGATGAGGGCAGGGGGAAGAGGATGAGCAGCATGACGAGAGTGAAAAACACGAGAAGGATGGAGGAGGAGAGAAGGAGGAGGAGGAGGAGGAGGAGGAGGAGGAGGACCGTAAAGAGGGAGGAGGAGGATGCGGAGGGCGAGGAGGCCGAGGGGAAGGGAGGAGAGGGGGAGGAGCACAAGGGGTAGGCAGGATGGACGGGGATGAGGATGGTGAAAATGTGGCCGAGGAGCGGTATGGCCCGGACTGCGCCCGCCGCGATCCTGGACATCTGGTGCCCCGCCTCTGCTCGTGCACGGGCCCCCGCAAAACCCCTCGGCCACTTCCAAGACGAAGCCAGGACCCCAACTATTAGGGGGGAAACAAACCTACCTCGCTTTTGACCACCCTCGCTTCCAAGAGATACCAAGCGATGCCAAACCACGGCATGTAGTGGTCAGGCCGCTTGACGAGGAGGCGTATGGTATGACTTGGTTTTTCCTGGAAGCGAAAGCGGGGTAGGCAATTCACGCTCTAAACTATATTGGAACGAGAATGATGTCATGACAGTATTGGCTCAGGATGCGCGCCAGGATTTCCAAGGTGTCTAGCGGCCCTCGTCCCCGCAGCCCGTGCGGAACATTTGGGGCATGCACGAAATCCTGCAGGCCCAGGAAGTGAACGTTACAGAATCAAGACCCCTTGCTCCTCTGATCTCGGGCAAGACAAATCGGATATCTCTGAGACCCGGCGATGATGGGGGATGTATCGGAAGGCTCCAGAACGCTCTGAGAGCGTCCTGGAACGCTCTGAACTTATCTATCCTGGTCCCAACCCCATCCGACCTTCCCGCGGGGCCGGCCGGCCATCCCGAGCCCGAGGAAACAAACTGTTTACGTACACATTTTAGTTTCGGAGCTCCGCGCGGATGTCTTGGAACGAAGCTGGACCCCCATCTCCCAAGCGCGCGGAACACACCAGGTGCGGCGGCAGACACGGGGGTAGTCAAGCGACGATCCCAGAAATTCCAGCGAATCTGGGAAAATGTTCATGCAATATTATATGAACCCCTAACGAGAAATAATGAGGTATCCCCCCCTGTGCCCCATGAGTGGTTATTATCCCGTGGTCGAACAGATTTGATTGTGGAGAGGGGCGGCGAGGCCGAACTTGATTATCGCGGGGGGAAGTTGCGAATCGAAATTGTTATCTTCTGATGTTGACTAGCAACATCATCAAAAACGCTGAGCATGGCAATGGAGGTCGCACCATTTCAGCTTTCGCAAATCACGAGCGCGTGGCAGGGCTGTGGGATTCTCATCATAGGTAGCAAGTTCAACGAGAAAGCACAGAAAAGCTGAGGCTAAGTCACTGGTCCGTCCTGCCTGGGCATCGCGCCTGTGAGATCGGTTAAAATAGCAGAAGTGCTGTCCGTGAGAGCGCACAAACCAGCCAGCAACAAACCAAGCAGCAACGTTGAAGAGGGTCGGACACTACATACGCGCTCGCACACGCGGTCCCGACGGGCGCAAAGATCGGAAATCGGCTGGCAACATCACCACCCCACTGCCGCTGCGCTCGCAGGCCAGACCTCGGAGCACAATCGCGCCGAGGAAACAACACCCTTTGGCCTTCAAGAAAGGATCTCTCCACCCTTCCGAGTCGGACTTGGACTCGATCGCGCGCAAACTGGTCAGAACAGACTGGGTAGCCAGTTCAATCATAATACACTTCGTAGCCACTGGTTCGTGCGCACTGTTATTAACGCCGCTCTGAGATCGCATGAGATTTCGGAAGTGCCGCCCGGGAGAGCGCGCACAGCCGCCCAGCAACAAGGATCTGGCGGGGAACCCGAAGCCGAGTGACTGGGCTGTGCGGACTGGCCAGCGCGCCGATGAAAGATCTTAAAGACACCTGTTCAGCCCCCAGACATGCGACGTCCTGATTTTTTCAGGACGGCGTCCCTGGCAGTCCCGACCCTTTCCCCGGGACCGGTTTTTCGTCCTGAGTCGTTTTTTGACGGCCCCGAGGCCCGGCGAGGGCCCCCAAGGGCCGAAAATGCTGAGAAACCTGCCGTCCTGAATTTTTTACGACGCGATCACGTCTGGGCGTGCTCCTCGGCTCTTCGCCGGGCGGCTGCACTGGCCGGAGCGGAGGCGGACCGTGAGGCCACAGCTCGGGCCAGACCGCCCGCGCGTGCGCCCCCAGTGGCCGCCACGGGGCGCCCCCGCCGGGCCACCCATCGGGGGGGAGCCAAGGAGGGGGGGGCGTCCAAGAGTTGAATCGGGCCTGTCCCCCTACTTTCAGGGGGACGTAAGACCCGGGTACGGGGGACTCGGAAATCCCCGACGAGGTCGTCAAAAAAATGACGAGGCCGAGCCTGCATTTTGACGAGGCCTCCCGCTGCAGACATCCCACGAAACTCCCCCTCGTCAAAATCCGAGGCGCGGTCGTCAAAAAACGGTGGCGAACCCGAGTCCCGGCAAACCCGGGTCTTACGCTCCCCCGATACTTGGGGATCTTCGACGAAAAATGCAAAATACCCCAAACAGAAACCAAAAATAGTCTGGGGACCATTTTTGGATTATTTTTGTTGCCTTTCAGGGGTATGTTTGGGGTATTTTTTTTATTTTTCGTCGAAAAATGCCCCTGTAGGGGGAACACGCCCGACATAATCCAAGAGGGGGAGGCGCAAAGCGTGGCTGGCGGCATGTGCGCGGCCCAGGGGCGGGGCAGGAACTTCATGAAAGAAGAAGAGGCGCCCTGACACCTGAGGACGTCTCCTTGCCCACGCCATGATATCCCCCCCCCTAGTCATCACCCCCCCCCTCTCTGCCGCCCCCGAACCCGAGCGGGCTGCCAGGACGCCGGCCTTCGCCGCGGGGTCGCTCTGCAGGCGGACGACGGCTCCCGAGCAGAGGGCGCCGCGGCGGCCGCTTTGGCCCCCAGCGCCTGCGCCGCGGCGGCATTGTGCTCGGCGGGCTCGTCGCCCGAAAGACGCAGGGCGATCGTTCGGGGATGGACAGAACCCCCTTTAGCAAAACGTGGTTTAGTGAAAACGACGTCGGGCCCAAATCTGGTGGGCGAAAGCCTGGAAACTGACGGCCACGGCGCCCTCTCGAGAACCGAAAACGGACAATTCACTAATCGACGTGTCACTATTGGGGGTTCTGTCCAGCCCCGAATCGTGCCGGCGTACCTCGAGGTGTCACGCCGAGGTTCGAGCCGTCGCCGCCGGAGGGGAACCACGAATGACAGAAACATAAAATCTCGGAGGCCCGCGCGGATTCCTCGGATCGGTGCTGGACCCCCCTCCATGGCGCGCGGAGCGCGCCAGGGGCGGCCCCAGCGCCGCTCCGAGAAATCCGCGCGGACCTCCGAGTTTTTCCAAGCCAGGCCGCCACGCGCGGCGCCGCGCAGCAAGCTCGGGCACATGGCCGCCGGCCAGGCGGAGGTCGGCGGTCCCTGGCGACGGGCCTTGGCCGTGCACCGGTCGGGTCCGGCCCCCCGCCTCTCGTGGCGGCAGGGCGGGGTCGCCCTCGCCCGCGCGGAGGGGCTCGACCAAGGAAGCGCCCTCCTCCGCCCCCGGGGGGAGGGGGGGGACGAGGGGGGGGGGGGACGGGGGCTGCAGGAAGAGGACACGGGGGGGGGGCGGGGCACTGGGGCACTGGGGGGCGAGGGGGAGAACGCGGGAAGATGGAGAAGGGGAGGGGAAGACCAGTGGGAGACCGAAGGGGGGGGGTTGGAAGGGGAAGGGAAGATGAGGGGGGGAGGGATCTACTCCTCCCTGGCCGTCCCATCCTCTCCTCGCCTCGCCTCCTTCTACTCCTCCCTCGGGGGCGAATGGTCGACGAGAAGGGATGACAGGAAGAGATGTGAAGAGAGGGCGGGGAGCGAGGAAAGGATGTGAGGGGACGAAAATGAAGAGGACGAGGAAAGGAGAAGGTGGAGGAGGATGAAGATAAGGAGGAGGACCAGTGTACGCCCAGGACGCACCAATGGTGTTGCAGTACGCCCTCCAACCAAATCCCACCAGCCCTCTGGGCGTGAGTGGTCTAGAGAGCTCTCTCTGTTCTCACCCCCCCTTCTTCCCCTTCGGGGAGGGGCTTACCCCTCCCCCTACCCCTACCCCCTCCCCCTGGGCCTGGAGAGGCCCCTCCGCGGGTCGTCAGAGGGGTCATTTTCAACTCCTGGGAGGGCTAAAAAACGACACCCCTCACGAGGATTCTGGCCCCGACGGGGGGGAGTCAGAAAAAATGCTCGCCCCTTCTTTGAAGCCAAAATCATTGATTTTACTACGGTTTTGGCCCCATTTTGGCCTTCTCAGGGGGCAGCGCTCATTAAAGCTCCCCTCTTCTTCCAAGCCAGAATCATTGATTTTACGAAGGTTTTGGCCCCATTTTGCCCTTCTGAGGGGGCAGCGCTAATTAAAGCTCCCCTCTTCTTTGATCGACTTCCTCCAAGATGGCCCCAAGAAGCGCCCAGGAGGCACCAAGAGGCCCCAAGATGGCCCCAAGAGGCCCCCAGGAGGCCCCCAAGAGGCCTCCAAGAGGCCCCCAAGATGCCCCCAAGAGGCCCCCAAGAGGCCCCAAGAGGCTCCCCCGAGGCACCCAAGACGCTCCTGGAAGCCCCTGGGGCCGCCAAGAGGCCCCCAAGACGCCCCAAACGGCCTCCAAGAGGCTCCCAAGAGGCCCGAAGAGGCTCCCCCAAGGCACCCAAGACGCTCCTAGAAGCCCCTGGGGCCGCCAAGAGGCCCCCAAGACGCCCCAAAAGGGGACGAGGTGCCCGAACGCCTCACGCCACGAGGAGCCCGAACGACTCACACCAGGACGAGGGGCCCGAACGACTCACACCACGAAGAGCCCGAACGACTCACACCAGAAGGAGGGGCCCGAACGACTCACACCAGGACGAGGCGCCCGAACGACTCACACCACGAGGAGCCCGAACGACTCACACCACGACGAGGGCCCCGAACGACTCACACCACGAGGAGCCCGAACGAGTCACACCAGGAGGAGGGGCCCGAACGACTCACACCAGGACGAGGGGCCCGAACAACTCACACCACGAGAAGCCCGAACGACTCACACCAGGACGAAGAGCCCGAACGACTCACACCACGAAGAGCCCGAACGACTCACACCAGGAAGAAGGGCCCGAACGACTCACACCAAGACGAGAAACCCCAAACGACTCAAACCACGAGGAGCGCTTTCTCTCCCTCCTCCTCCGCCTCGTCCTTCTCCCGCACCACAAGGAGGATGTACAAGGAGGCGGGAGGAAGGAGTAACAGGGGAGATATGCGGGGCCAAGCGGACACACGCCTGAAAAACACGACTGTCGGCATGCTTCGCAAGAGTTGCTGTTGTGAGATAGGCTGGTGGGGATACGCGAAGCGTAAAGAATTCCCTCTTCATTGACCCCTACAACAATTTAATTCCTCTGCTGGAGGTTCCCCCGTTGGAATACGACCGTCTGAGAACTCCCAACCGTGCCAACGCACTACTCCTTCGAGTTCAGCGCCACGAAACAATTTTACAGTTGCGTGGCGACGGCTCCTGCACCGCGTCAAACTACAATTCCTGGGGCTCCACCACGACGAATCAACTTTACTTTTGCGCCGTGGCCTTCCAATTTCGCGCAAGAGCACAATGCGTGGGACGCCAATCATAAGAATCCGTCAAACTGTTGTAAGACTTCGAAACGAATGCGCACGGCACTGAAACGAGACTCACACGTTGAACAAAAGCCGCCCTCCATCCGTGAAACTCTTGCCCACTTGAAAAAGAGTGCGCGCGGCGCTGGGGCGAGAATCGCATGTTGAAAACCACACGCCCTCCATCCGTGAAGCTCTGGCAATCTTTTTAAATGAATGGGCGCGGCGCTAAGGCGAGAACAACATGTTGAAAAAGAGCCGCCCTAAATCCGTCAAACTCTTGCGCTTTCAAGACAACTGTGCGCAGCGCCAGGACGAGAACCTCATTTTGAAAGTAAGTCGCCCTCCATCCGTGAAGCTCGTGCGCAATTCTGGAAGTAGCGTGCGCGGCGCCAAAGCCTGAAACACATAAAAAACGAGCCACCTTCCACCTGAGAAATTGGAAGAAGTGGAGGAGGAGGAAGAGCATTGTGGAAAAACAATTAAAGCAATGAGGGAGTGGGAGTTCTTTTGTTCGGCATCGGGGCCATCGGAACTTACAACGAGTAGCATGCACGTCTCCATTTGTCGCTGGCGTGACAAGTATGTCCCACTGACGTGATGCAAGTACGGTGCTCGCGCGAGGGTGGACGAAGGCGTGCCGGCCAAGACAAGCAGAGAGCGCCTACCATACTACGTGAGCAGGCCGTTCGTCTGCTCTGGGTGGCCGCGCAAGGTGAAGTTCACAGCATTAGTGACAAGCATTGCATCATGAGGATCTCAATGCTGATCCCAAGGGAAAGAATGAAGGAGGACGAGAGGGAGTAATTGGGGAGGAGCAGTGTGGAAGGAAGGTGCGTTGCAGCATCACTACGGCGCCCTGGGGGTATTCTGGTCCTCCTCCTCATCCTCCGTCTCCTTCCTCCTCCTCCGCCTCCCTCTTCCTCTCCCCCATCCTCCCTCCCTTCGACCCTTCTCTTATCATACCTCCTTCCTCGTCCTCCTCGTAATCATCCCTCCACTTCATGTTCCCCTTCCAATTTCTCTTCCTCCTCCGCTCCACATTCACCGCCTCCTTCTCCCCCATCCTCCAATCTTTCCTCACGAATAACTCCTCCCTGTCGCAAACCCCTCGAGGCGGCCAGTCGAAAGGGCGGGCCGGGCGTTTTGCCTGAGACTTCCTTACCATTGATGAGCCGGGAATTCAAACAATGGCGACAGTTTCGCAGGTGGAGAGCGGGCCGCTTCCAAAATGTAGTTCTCGCCTTAGCGCCGCGCGCCTTCTCGTCTTCAACATTTGCCAGAGCTTCTCGGATTAAGAATGGGTGGTGTCCAAAATGTGGCTCTCGCCTTTGCGCCGCGCACATTCGTTTCAAACGTTTGCAACAGCTTCACGGATGGAGGGTGGGTGGTTTTCAAAATGTGACTCTCGCCTTGGCGCTACGTACATTCGTCTTAAAAACATGCACGAGCTTTACACATAAATGGCATCTTGTTTTCAACATGTCGCTCTAGCCTTAGCGCCGAGCACATTCGATGCAACAAGTTGCAAGAGCTTCAAGGGTTGAGGACGGTTCCTTTTCAAAATGTGGCTCCCGCCCCATCGCCGTGCACATTCGCTTCAATACGTTACATAATTTACGAATTCTCATTGTTGATGCACGGGGAATAATGTTTTGGAGTGGTTCAGGACCCAACAGTTACCTTCATCCGCGGTGTGGACATTCCAGGGATGACGTTCTGGCGCGATTCAGGAGCGTCAAGAGGCAACAGTCACATTGACTCGTGGCGTTCATATTCTGAAAATGGTGCGTTGGAACGCTTCAAGATGTTTTCGCATGGCTGTCCCCCCTCGTAACACTTTCCTCAATGCAAATGAATCCTTGTATGGGGCTTATGACAAGGGATCTTGGAGGGAGGGCGTATTCCAACATCGTTGATGCATCTTGGGTTTACATTATGTTACATTGTTCTCATCATACTTAGAGGCCACATCCCAGAAGTCATTTCGAGCACCCGGAAAAGTGTCGAAACAGTATAGCAACAGTGTCGAACGAGTGTCTCCCAGGGCCCGACACGTGAAAACCCTCGAGTTTAGGTTCTTTTTTGGTGCTCGAAATTCTTCCTGGTGGTCGAGGCTAAGGCACGTAGGAACATCATAAGGTTTACACTGGTCCTCTTCCTCCTCCTCCTCCTCCTCCTCCTCCTTCTCATCCTCTTCATCCTCCTCATCTCCCCTCCGCCTTCTACTCATACGACGGTGACGACGCGCCCAACGACCACGACGACGCCAGCGGCGCCAACGGAACCGGCCTCGAATGCGACGACAACGCCAGCGGCCGTGCCGACGGCGGCCGCGACCACGGCGACGACGGTGACGACGACGCCAGCGACGACACCAACGCCGAGGACGCCAACGCCGACGCCGATGGCGGCGGCGACCACGGAGACGAGCGCGCGGGCGGGGCCCCGCCCGCGCAGGGCTCGCCCCCCGCGAGGCCGCCCGCACCCAGCATCCGCAGGCGCACCGCCACGCAAACGCCGCCCTCGCGGCGGGGACCCCCAGCCGCCGCCGCTCGCCAACCGCCGGCGGCGGTCCTCCTCCTCCTCCTCCTCCTCCTCCTCCTCCTCCTCCTCGTCCTCCTCCTCTTCCTTCTCCTCCTCCTCCTCCGCCTGCGACGGCACCCTGCCGGCGCCGGCGCCGTCGACAGCGGCGTCGTCGCCGACCGCGTCGGCGCCACCGTCTTCATCGACGCAGGCGCCGGCGCCAGCGTCGTCTTCGGCGCCGTCAGCGTCGGCGACATTGTCGCCCACGGCGCTGGCATCGTCGGCGTCGCCGAAGTCGGCGGCGTCGTTGCCGTCATCTTCTTGTGGAGGAGGTGGGGGAGGATTAAAGTGCAGCGCAGATGCCTTCAAGGGTGAGCATGGAGCATGGCACTTTGTATGTCGGGTGGGGCACTTGGGCTCTCCTATCCTTGATCGTCGGTGCTGGTGAAAGTAGGGAAGACCCATCTTTCGCTGATGGTGGTGCGCGTATTGTACCATATGAGGAAGAGAAGAGGGAGGAGGGAGGGGAGGAGGGATGTGGAGAAGGACTTCGTCCTCCTCCCTCCCTCCCTCCCTCCCCTCCTCCAAGTTTCCTCCATGTTTGTTCCTCCTCCCCTCCTGCCCCCCTCCTCAGCCTCGCCATTTCCCCATCCACCCTCGTGCCTGCTCCTCCTCCTCCTCCTCGTTCTCCTCGTTCTCCTCGTTCTGCTCGTTCTCCTCCTCCTCCTCCTCCTCCTCCTCCTCCTCCTCCTCCTGCCTCCGCCTTGTTCCTCCCTGTCAACCAAAATTCCTTGCCTCCGCCCTCATCCCTCCTCCTCCTCCTCCTCCTCCTCCCCCTCCCCTCCCTCCGCTCCCTGCCCTCCTTACTCCCTTGGTCCCTCCTTCTCCTCATCCTCCTCCGTGCTCCTCCGTCGTCCTGCTGCTGCTGCTCCTTTTTTCTCTGCCTGATTTCTTCTCCCTGCTGCTGCTCCTCCCCCCCATCCCGGCCCCCCTATCCCCCTCCTATTTCGGACCCACTCTCCTTCCTCCTAGGCGGATTTTGGACGAAAAATGATCGTCCCCAGACTGTTCTCGGACTAAGTTTTAATATTCCTTCTGTAGAGGGACACGCCCGACTTGAGTCTACCCTCGGCATGAAGGAGAGGGATCCTGGGAGAAACGGGTCCTGGACTCGCTTCGCCGTTTGCGCAGCAACGACATTTCTGCATGCACACCGTCGGTAATTCGTCAGGCTGCCTCAGAAGAAGCGTGCCGACGACATAGCGTCTGCCCGATACCGGCAACAAAACGGTCTTCCCTCGATCGGGGTCTAGGGCCCGCTTCTCTCAGGACTCTGAGGGGGAACGCTCGGGGACAAGCTCAGGCGGGGAGATATCGACTTTGAATCGGCGATACTGAAGGGGAACTGGGACACACAAAACAAATACACACAAATAAAGCTATCGCCCACATTTGCCCACATGTTCTGGGTAGTAGTCTTCCCCCCCACTTCCCATATTTTCTGATATTTTCTGGGAATCGACGATCAATTGTGTCTGTGTGTTTTTCCCCCTCCCGAGATACGCCGCCGACAGATCGGCGAGAGGCGCCCGACAGCGGATCCGCACGCTCCCAGGCGGGGCGGAGCTCTCGAGCCCCTGCCGGCGAGGCGTGTGCGAGCGTGGCTCGGTGCGTCCTCCCCCCTGAGCGCATCCCCCTCTACAGTCGGGGCGTTGACCTCAGGAACGGAAAATAAGGAACGGGGCCCCTTTTTCCCAGAAGTTGAGCTTCTGTGGCTCGGTGCTTCCTCCCCCCTGAGCACATCCCCCTCTACAGTCGGGGCGTTGACCTCAGGAACGAAAAATCAGGGACGGGGCCCCTTTTTCCCAGAAGTTGAGCTTCGATGTCCCCTGGAAAACCTCCGGAAGACAGAAGGCAAGCTGCAGAACAATCGAGGAGCACGGAGCCCCTCCCCAACGGAGAGGGTTCCTTCTCCAGGGCCCCGACTGTAACACTGCCCCGGAGACCCATCTCCATCGTGGCGATGACCGCGACAGGCCGCGTGAAGCGCCAGCGCTCTTGTGCAGCCGAGCTCCCAGCAGCGCGCTGCTGCAAGGGTAACCCCGCCCAGAGCTGATGTTGAGAACAAGATGGACCTATTCGTGTTTCTCTCCCCGTTTTCAACTTGCTTCGGTTCGACCAAGAACAACACGGAGAAACAAAACGGCAGCCCAAGCATGAACAGTAACTGCAGTAAAGCACGGAGCCGAACCGAAAACGGCGCGAACGAGAATCCCAAAACAAGACAGCCTGTCCCCAAGACAAACAAAAAACGGTTGCCTTAAACATTTTCCAAACTGACGAATCACCCCCCTAGCGTTTTAAGCATGACCTAATGCAGGATGACGGTTAATTACAACAACTAGGGGGAACGATAGAAAAAATAGTTGCTTGAATTCTAGCTGATTTTTCAACAGGAGGAGGACGATCAAAAACTATGTCTATAACACGTCGGCTTCGAATCTTGCGTCGAATACTCATTTCACGAAATCGTCAAACTTTACCATAAATAATCATTCGACGTCGACTTCCATTTTTACGTCACATACTCTTTCCACGTCGGCTTCAGACATTATATCTAATGCTCATTTGACGTCGGATTCAAATGTTACGTCAAGTGCACAATCCACATCCTACATTAAGGAAGGCCGCGCCGCCGCAATCCCTCTCTGCCCTGTTGCATGAACCGCTCCTTCCCCCCTTGTCCTCCTCCCCCTCCCCCTCCCTCCCCGCCTCTCTCTCCCCTGCCTCCCTTCCTAGAAGCCTCCTAGAAGGCGTCTGAGTAGATGAGGTCGGAGGATCGCGCCGCATCGCCGATACATAGGCGTTGCGTCGGCGCCGTCGGCACGAAGCAAATCGGGCTCCACATCCAGCCGCATCGGGGATGCATCGGCGATGCGGCGCGACCCTCCAATCACATCTGCTCGGACCCTATCTGGGAGGCCTAGACTTGCTCACCCCTCGGGTCGGACGAGAGGGGGGCAGGCCTTAGGTCGGGCGTGTCCCGCTACAGGCCGATTTTGGGCGAAAATTAGAAATACTAAAAACATACCCTCACATAGTCACAACAAACACTCAAAACATCGTCCCCTGAGTTATTATCTGACTATCTTTTTGAATATGCCTCCTGTAGAGGGACAGGCCCGACATAAGGCCAGCCAAGATGGGGTACGCAAATCAGCTCGCGCTGCTGCTCTTTCTGGTGCCTCCCAGCGCTGAGAGGCGCCAGCGCGTGGAGGAAAAGCGTCCAGCGGCGGGGCCGAAACCAGCTGCATGCCGCAGATTTCGTGACCCCCTTTCCCTATTCCCCCCTCTTCGTCTGCCCCGATGGTTTCGTCTGGGACAAGATCGATGATCGGGGGAGCTTGAGGGGGGGGTCTCGGACATGCTGGGGAATGAGTTGGATCCGTCGGCGTGGTCTTCGGCGTTCGCGCCGAAGGGCCATGGGCAGGGCTGCCGGTCCCGTCCCCCCCTTGGTCGCCCGCAGTCGAACTGCGGGGAACCCCGAGGGCCCCCTCCGAACCGAAGCGCGCTCCCGCCCCCGATCGCTCCCGACCCCGTCACCCCTCCTCCCCCCCCCCGCGGGGCGGCTGGCCGTGTTCAGCACGAATGCGCGGTGCACCGCGTCCAGCACGGTGGACTTCCCGCTGCCGTGCCACTTGCCGTGGTCGCACACGACGACGGCGCGGCGGCCGCCGGTGAGCATCTGCAGCACCTCTGGCCGCGCTGACAGGGCCGCGAGGGCCGTCTAGGGATGCTCGCTTGGCCCCCCCCGCCTCGATCTCGCCCCTCCCCCTCCTCCTGCTCTTCTTAGAGGGGAAAAATCCACCCCTCTGAGAACCACCCCGACAAGCGAGGTCGTTTAGTAAACGCACCCAACGAAGGTATCGAACAGGGCAGGGAGGTTTAGTAAACGCCCAAAGCCGTTTAACAAACGCTAATTGTCGGGTCCGGGTGGTTCTTCCTCCCTTGACTTCTGTCCCTGAGCGCCGACGTTGCGAAACGACCGCAACATCACGACCGAACGCGACCAGAGCACTCTAGAACCAATCTTTCTGCGGCAATTTCCGAGCCGGACGGATCTGTGACGGTCCGGGGGCCCGACACCAGGCGGAACCGCCCGGCGTGGAAAATTTGCAACGCCTGGATGTCAGGGCACCCTCTCCTCCCCTCCTCCTCCTCCTCCTCCTCCTCCTCCTCCTCCTCCTCCTCCTCCTCCTCCTCCTCCTCCTCCCCCTCCTCCTCCCCCTTCTCCGTCCTCTTCCGCCCTCCTCCTCCTCCCCTCCTCCTCCCCTCCTCCTCCTCCTCCTCCTCCCCCTCGCCCTCCTCCTCCTCCTCCTCCCTCCCTCCTCCTCCTCCCTCCTCCTCCTCCTCCTCCCCCTCCCCCTCGCCCTCCTCCTCCTCCTCCTCCTCCTCCTCCTCCGCCCTCTCCCCCTACCTCCCCCTCCCTCCCCTGCCGACGTTAGGTGGCCACATCCGAACCCTGCCTCCACCAACTATCGATTTCTCCCTGAATCGACAGGAGGCGGAGGTAAGCTTCGGACTTCGCCGCGTTCGACGAAAACTCCGAGCCATACCCCGCCGCCCATCGAGCTGCCCGAATCCTTGATCGACGGGGGTACGGTTCGGATCTCACCGCCGACCCCCACCCGTCGAAGGTGCGCCCGAGGTGCACGAGGAACGCGGCGGCGCGCGACGACGTGCGACGTGCGACGTGCGACGCGCGACGACGACGATAACGACGACGACGACGACCACGACCACGACGACGACGACCACCACGACCACGACGACCACGACGACCACGACGACCATCGATGGCCTGCCACACGTCGAAGGTGCGCCCGAGGAAGTCCTCGCGGGCGCGCGCGGGGGGCGGGCTGGGCCCGCGGGCGGCGGCGCGGCTCTGCGCCCTCGCCCCCCGAGGACGGCACCAGGACGAGGGGAAGGACGACATCGGACGAGGAAAATCGGCCACCGTGCCTCGCGCACGCTGCGGCGTGGAAGCATGCCACGGTCTGCCTGGCAAGGTTTCTGTAACTCTAACACGGGAACTCCTCTGGCCATCGCTCGGGCTTCCATTTCCTGTGCGTGTTGTCGGTGTCGTGCGTGGTTTTTTCGCCAGATGATAGAGGATGCTCCCCGATGGTCCTCGCCGAAGGAAAAATGCACACGTCCGAGCGATGCCAAGCCCTCGGGCAAAAAATAATGGATCCGCATTCCACGATCCCTCGTAAAACACGAGGGTCCGCCGATGACGTGAGGACGAGGCTGGGAGAAAGGGAGCAGCATGAATACAATCGGTCGTGCTTGTTTTAGATCCTTGCGTGGCGGCAGCGGGTGATGGTTCACTCTGCCAAGCCCTGACAATCTATATGGACATCCAGTCGCACTGAGGAAACCGCCCTCCCATCAATGTTTCAGGTATCCTGTGCTTGAATGCAACGAGAGATCTTGAGAAGCTCCTTGTACCGATTTGTCGAATCTTATCAGGGCCTCGTGGTAGCGGTAGTTCAAACTCGCTGTTGATCTCAACGGACTCGTCATTCGCTCGCGCGATGGAGAATGCCAACCAGCCTTTCGGAAAATTCAGCAATCCATACTTAGCATCAGTGCCACTCCTCGAGCGTGCTCGAGGAACACAACACTCTCGTCTGGTGCATGAGCCGACGATACCTGTCGGCATCGTACGGCCTTCCACGATGCAGCACGCAGCGATTGTCCCAGATCAACAGATCTCCCACTTGCCACGTGTGCCTGTATACAAATCCTGGTGAGGTCGCACGAGCAAGCAAATCTTCAAGAAAGGCACGTGCCCTGCTTTCTTCCCAACCGCGTATGGTTCGAGCATGTGACCCGACGTAATAATTCCGCCGTCCATTCACTGGGTTTCGCCGAATGAGCCGCTGCTCCACAGGCGGTAACGACGAGGCATGCACGGGAGCGACAGCATCGGGACAAATCTTACTGCGCGAGAAAACATAATCGTGCACAGCCACGAGGTCATCCAGCTCATCCTTCAGTGTCCCTGGCAGCTCGTCATATGGCCGCCGAGTCGACACGAACTCCAGCTCACCGCCCTCTGCTGAGACTTCGTGCGCGAAGGATATGGAGAACATCGCTGGTATGGGCCTGAATGACGAGTCTGAGTGCCACATCTCGTTGCCAGTCGAAAACCGAACATGTTTATTCGAAGACGGAAGTTGCTTCCCTTCATCGTTGATGTTGCCAATTCGGTAGAAGAACTCCTTGCGGCGCTCCTGCCCGTAGAGGATATGGTTGAACTCGAGTTCGCCAAAGCGCGCACTGAATGATATCTGAGTCTTGGTATCCAACGTAAGCCCTCGAATGAGCACCACGGAGTGCTGATCGACTGCAGCACTGATCCGAGCGCATGCCTCGACGTCCAGATTTTGCAAACAAGTTATACCTCCCAACTCGATGCCAAAATCCGGGTGCAGAGCGCGGGTGTGGAGCGAATTTCTCCGAACCCGTTCGAAAGGGGGCCGCCGTGGAAGACAAGCCCAGAGAGACCTCATTGTCGGCTCAAGGGCCTCCCCTGACTGAATCATGACTTGAGCAGATGCAGAGCAAGCGGTGACGAGGGTGCAGACTGCAGTGGCAACAACAGTGCTTGTACAATCAGAAGTCAGAGGAACCCAGGGCCGGAAAGGTTGTCCGAAAAAACCTATCTTTGGAAATCCACAAAGTGACAAAGTAGAAAAGCCCACGGGAATTCCACATGGGGGCAAAGACACACGTTCTGTCCAAGCTAGTCGGTTCTCCAAGATCCTCCCAACTGTCTTCGTTTGAAGCACAAAGGGTATGCGCCGCCCAACGCTCGTCGATAGGGGACATTGGGCTGAAACTCTTGCGGCATATTCTATCTCATTTTGATGGGCGACCTAGGTGGGCAAGCCACTCTCTTGGAAACCTGTCAATCCTACTTGTCGGAAACGTTTGGTGACTCGGGTCGGACAGACCGTCGTCTGAGATCCTTGTTTAGCAAATGTCTTCGGCGCTCGAGTCACCACATCCAGTGGGTCCTTCCTCTCAAATGCTATGTCAGAATTCCCCCAACCCAAAGATCTGAAAGCAAACATGATCCGCGTCGTTCGCGACACCGTGCTGTTCGGACGACTCCAGCCATCGAACCCCCTCGCAGCGTGACGTACCAAGAGAACCAAACGTGTAGCGATACCACCACTTTCTGAGCCTCTCCGGTGGTTCTTTCTGGTAAGACTTCAGAGGCGGATCTGGCCGTGGCGGCGAGGTCCTTACAACAGGAGGCGCCAACAAAAAGCAAGCACGAATCAAGGATAGCGGCATCGCCACCTTCTTCTCGTCCGACGTACGCCGGAGACGCCTACATGCTGCCTGTCCTTGAATCTGAATCGGGGGCGCTGCCAGAGCAGGCCAAGAGAAAAACCCATCGGTCGGACGAAGTAGGTAGAAACATGAAGTAGGAAGGCGTTGGAAAAAGAATGGGTCTCCGCACGCCCTGTAAAAAGACGGCAAAGGTGAAGCCACTCGATCCTTAAAGTAGGAAAGCGTCCACAGCAGATTGGAATCTGGGGACTCACAACATACCTACTTTCAACGACCGATGGGTGAGGATGAGCGACCCCCCATGGCTACTCCAGATTTCGTAATAAAAGGGAGGGGGTCTCAACCCTCCCAGACGAGAAGTTTTAGACCCTCCCAGACCATCCATGAAAGGGCGGCCCTTCGCCCAGACCCCCCCGAACCCTCCGAGACAGCTCAAATCCGACCCCCCCCATCCTTCCACCCTTCCCCCTTCGGCCCGTCCTCGGGCCGCTGTCGCTGGCCGCGCCCCGCTTGCAACATGTCGGCACGGCCTTCCACGGCCCTTGCATCCCCACCGCGCACGCTTGTCCCACAGGCTGACTGTGCACCGCCCATGTACCTGGGTCAGGCCCCGATCGCACAGCCGCACGGTCCTGGGCGGGGTGGGCTATCAGGCCCCTATCGGCGGTCAACGGGCAACTGGGGGTCGATGCGCCCGCCCCTGAGAAGCGCATCTCCCCGAACGGTGCCCTGATCCCTCCTGGCCGCTAACTCCACGGCAAGTCCCTGGCGTCACGGAGCAGGCCCTGGTCTTGGACACTGCACGAGCCATGACCAACTCAACCTCGTTGAATGATCTCGACTCTCAGAGGAGCCCCCGAGCCAGAACCTGTCGACCCCACCGTTTCGCACGGACTTCGCCCCGTGGGGCGTGTGTCCGGGGCCCCCGTGGCCCGAAACAGGCCCCCGAGGGGATGCAACCTTGAATGCCCGCGCCTGCGACAGTACTGGCATCCAGGACCATGAGATGCGCGCGCGGAGATGTAGCGGCATGTACGGACCAGGGCCCCTGGCATCGCATCCACGGCCTTAACTCCACGGCCAATGCTCGGACCATGCCGGCATCAAGGGCATCCAGGACCATACGGACCATACGGACCATGCCGTATAGTCCAGCGGCGCGAATCTGACATAATTATGTCTCCCTCTTTCCATCCATGGGATTGTCTGGAATTGGGACGGGCACGGAGGACGATGTCCACCGACAAATGCTGCCCCAAACCCACAGCGGCCGCTGTTGGGCGGGCGCTCCTCGCTACGAGCGGAGGAGAAGGACACAGGAGGAGGAGAGAGAAGGGAGGAGAAACGACGGGGGATGAAAGGAGGACGATGGGAGGGAGGAGTAAGGAGGATAATGAGGAAGAGAACCCAGACATGGCGTGTTTTGATTCACAACCCTCCTGTGTGTTGGGTCCTAATTTTGAAATCGCAACGCCGCTCGTCTCCTTCTCCTCTCCTGATCTCCTCTGATTCCTCATTCTTGTCACCAACATCCTTTTCAACGTTACCATCGTCGTCGTCGTCAGCATTATCGCTTTCATTTCTGTGACCACCATCTCCACTCATCATCATCATCGTCGTTATTATCACCATCATCATCACCATCATCATCAGCAGCATCACAACCACCACCACCACCATCACAACAACCACCACTACCACCACCACCACAATCATCATCATCATCATCATCATCATCATCATCATCATCATCATCAGCAACATCATCAATATCCATCACCATACTCATCATCATCATCATCATCATCATCATTACCACTAGCATCGCTGTCATCATCAACATGATCATCATCCTCATCATAATTGTCATTACCATCATCATCATCGTCACCACCCTCGTCGTCATCATACACATCTGTATCAACATCATCAACAGTTTCATCATCACCATCACCATCACCATCACCATCACCATCACCATCACCATCACCATCACCATCACCAACACCAACACCAACATCATCATCATCATCATCATCATCATCATCATCATCATCATCATCATCATCATCATCACTTCGGCGTGCCGCTTACACGATTCGTGACTCCAAAGGGAGCTCCACCAAAAACCCAGATGGCTGCGTCCGCCTGGCGCCAACCCGCTCGTGTCGGCATATGGCACACCCTTCACACGTTCCGTGGCCTTCAGGGAGCTCCACCACGGGCCACAGTGGCTGCGTCCGCATAGCGCCACCCCGTCCTTTTCGGCACACCCCTCACATGTTTCGTGGCCCCCAGACAGCCTCACCGAGGGCACCAATGGCTGCGTCCGCATGGCGCCACCGCGCCCATTTCGGCAGACACCCCAAACGCTTCGTGGCCCCATAGGGAGCTCCTCCGGTGTCGTCCGCGTGGTGCCACCCCGCCCTTTTCGGCACACCCCTCACACCGAGGGCTGCGTGCGCATGGCGCCCCTCCGCCCATTTCGGCACACCCCTCACACGTTTCGTGGCCTACACCGAATGCCCAAATTGATGCGTCCGCTTGGCGCCACCCCGCCCACGCGGGCACACCCCTCACACGCCCCCAAGGAACTCCACCGACTGCTGCAATGGCTGCGTCCGCATGGCGCCACCACGCTCACTTCGGCTCACCCCCCACACGTTTCGTGACACCAAAGGAGCCCCACCGAGGGCCCCAGTGGCTGCCTTTGCTTGGCGCCACCCCGCCCTTTTCGGCACCCCCCCCACACGTTTCGTGGCCCCCAGGGAGCCCCACCGAGGGCCCCAGTGGCTGCGTCCGCTTGGCGACACCCCGCCCCTTTCGGCACACCCCTCACACGTTTCGTGGCAAATGGCTGCGTCCGCATGGCGCTACCCCGCCCATTTCTGGTAACACGTTTCGCGGCCCCCCCAGGGAGCTCCACCGAGGGCCCAAGTGGCTGTATCAGAGAATGGATGGATGGATTCGGCTTGTGTTCGGGATTCGATGTTCTGCTATGTATGAGGCCAACGGGGCCAGGCGGACAGCGACGACGACGACGATGGCGAGGGCGACGAGGACGAGGGGGAGGAGGAAGAAATCGACGACGAGGGGGTGGAGGGCCAGCACCCCCATCCGTCCTATCGGCCCAAGCCAAGAGCTAGGGGCGAAGCAAGAAACGCATCGGAGTCACATTGGAGCCGTATTGACACAATCTTGGGGTCAACTAGGGTCCAAAAAGGTCATGTTGGGGCAAACTCGAAGCCGTCTCGGACTCATGTGGTCGTTCTGGGGCCACCTCGGAATAACATCGGGGTCGCGCGGTAGCCTTAGTGCAGTCGGAAGTCAATGGGTTCGTCTCGGTGTTCTCTTGGGGCCGCAGGGTTGCTCTGGGGTCGTACTGGGGCCATCGCTTAGCAGGGGTGGGCATCTTGGGGCGACAGGGATAATATCGTGATCATGTCCAAAACCCCTTTTGGGTCCATCTTGGGATCATCTTTCCGTTGCTGCCTCTCTCGTTGTTGTTGCTACAGATGTTGCTTTTACTGCTGGCGTTGATGCAGCTGGCGCTGCCTGGGCTGCCCGTGGTGCTGGTGCTGGTGCTGTGCTAAATTTCGGGCCCTCTTGAAGCCTTCTTGGGGCCCTCTTGTGGCCCTCGTCGGCCTCTTGGGTCCCTGCGGGGGCTTCTGAGGGCCCTTAAGACGCTACCGAGGGGGCCAAGAATTCAACGCACACTTAACACAAACCGCCTCCTTGTTGGAGAGCGTCTTGTGTTAAATTGGTGTTGAACATTTGGCCCTCTTGGAGCCATCTTGGGGCCATCTTGGGGCCCTCTTGGGCCCCTGCGGGAGCCCTCTGAGGGCCTTTCAGAGGCCTCCAGGAGGGCCAACAATTCAACACACATTCAAGACAAACCGCCTCCTTATTGGAGAGCGTCTTGTTTTACATGTTGGTAAAATTCGTGCTCAGAGAACCCCAAGAAGGCCCAAAAGAGACCCAAGAAGCCCCCCAAAGAGATTTTTGTTTAGCTTCCACACGGGGGGTCACCATGTATCCGCTGTTTGTACAAATCCTTCCTCTTGTAGGGCTCGGCTTGAGGTTCGGAGGGCCTTCAGGAGGGTTCCAACCGAAAGTATTCAAAGACTTCGCAAAGCTTCGAGTGCGATTGCGCTGCTCCAAGACCGCTCCGAGACGGCTCCAGAGCGCTCCAAGACGCTCACAATGGCTTCAAGACGGCCGAAGAGACCCTGCAGTCGCCCCTGGGGGGCTCCAAGAGGACCCCCCAGGGGCTGCACGAGGCCAGAACCATAGTTTTTCTTTTGGTTTTCTGGCGGATCTTAGCGTTCTCGCTTTTTCTGGGTTCCAATGCTCCAAGACGGCCCAAGAGACCGCCAGGATCGCCCCAAGACGGCCTAAGAGGCCACCGAAGAGGGCTCCAAGACGATCCAAGATGGCACCAAGACGACCCATGAGGCCCACAATGCGGCCCAAATAGCCCCCAAAACGGCCCCAAGAGGGGACCCAGGGGGCCACCGGAACTCTTGTGAAGCGGCGTGGGGGCATGCGGAGAGCCTTCGCAAGTAGACGCGGCGCCGGGATCACCATGTGTCCGGACATTGTACGAATTCGTACATGTCTGAGACGATCGCCGAGCCTCTTGGGAGCCCTTTTGGTGGCCTCTTGGGGCCTGCTGGGGGTTCATGGAGCATGAGAAAGGGGCCTCTTGGGCGCCTCTTGAGGTCTGTTGAGATTCTTGGGGGCTAAGGGCTTCTTGGGGGCCCTTTGAGGGCCTCTTGGGGGCCTGCTGGGGCCCCGAGAAGACGCCAAGAGGGTCCCGAAAAATGTCTGGGTCCGCCGAAAATGCTGCAGCAGATTTCCGGGTGGCCCGGAGACTTCTCGGGGCCCTATTGGAGCTTTCTTGGGGGCTCCAAGACGGTGGTGGGGAGGGCGGGAGGGTGGGGGAATCTCCTGGAGATGCGGACGCGGAGGAAGAGGCGGCTTCTGGTGGCCTGACGGGGGCCTCTCGGGCGCGATTTGAGGTCAGTTGGGGTTTCTTGGGGGCCTCTCAGGGCCTCCTGGGGGTCATGTGGAAACCTTGAGGCGTCTTGGAAGCTTCTCGGGGTTGTCTTGGTACCCTCTCGGGGGCCGAGAAGCGATGTTGTTATTGCTACTGTTGTTGTTGATGATGCTGCTGGTGTTGTAGTTGTTGCATGCGTAGTTGTAATTGTAGCTGTAGATGTTGCTGCTCGTGGCAACGTTGTCGTCGTCTGTCGTAGTTGAAGTTGTTGTTGCTGCTGCTGCTGTTGTTGTTATCGTTGTTGATGTTGTTGATGTTGCTGCTGCTGCTGTTGTTGTTGCTGATGTTGTTGCTGTTGATGTTGTTGTTGGTGTTGTTGCTGTTGTTGTTGTTGGTGCTGTTGCTGTGATTATTGGCGTTGTTGTTAGTTACTGGTTATGTGCCTTGGTGTTGTTGGTGTTGTTATTGCTGTTGCTGCTGTAATTGTTGCCATTGCTGATGTCGTCGTTGTTGTCGTTGGTTGTTGCGGTTCGCTGTCGTGCTATACGCCGTGATTTCACATGTAGACGCGCACGCCATCAAACAACAACACACATGGCACCACATATATTGTACCAGACCGATTGTGCCACGTAGGTTGCGCAACACCACATCGTTTGCACCACGTAGACTGCACTTCATATATACCACAACATGCATTGCACCATTAAGGTTGAATCATCGCATGTTTGGAGGGCAAGAACAGCCTGATCCCTGGTTTCTGATCCCCGAAATGGAACGCGATCCCTGTCGGAACGGGCGGTTCCAATACACATCATCGCATGTTTGAGCGGCGAGACCAGCCTGATCCCTGGTTTCTGATGCCCGGAATGGTACGCGATCCCTGTCGGAACGGGCGCTTCCAATACAAATCGTCACATGTTTGGGCGGCGAGAACGGCCTGATCCCTGGTATCTGATCCCCTGAATGGAACGCGATCCTTGTCAGAACGGGCGGTTCCAAGAGAAACCATCGCATTTTGGGCGGCGAAGAATGCCTGATCCCTAAAATCTGATCCCCGGAATGGAACGCGATCCGTGTCGGAACGCGCGCGCCCT